ACTACTACTACTACTACTACTACTACTACTACTACTACTACTACTCTCTCTCTCTCTCTCTCTCTCTCTCTCTCTCTCTCTCTCTCTCTCTCTCTCTCTCTCTCTCTCTCTCTCTCTCTCTCTCTACGCTATTCGAAAAAAAGAGAAACGTTCTCTTATCTCGATAAACCTACCTCGAGACCGTGAGGCGTGCTGAACATCTTGTCGCATTTGACGCAACTGTAGACATCACCGAGAGGATGATGATGGAGGCCGTGCGCGGTGTGGGTGGAGTGGAGTCCAGGATGAGCCGGATGGACGCCACGCAGCAGCAAGTGTGGAGGTAACAAATGATGGGGGAGCAATTGAGGGTGCAGGTACGACAAAGGATGGTGAGGATGGGGTGGCAACAGCCCACCTTGAAGGTGAAGGGGTGGGTAGAGCATGGAGGATCCGGGTGGAGGTGGATGGGCGCCGATCGAGGCCGCGTCCCTGTGAGGGGACGCGTTTTGCAGGTGGGCAGAGGGTGGATCCGGCCTGAGAAGGGCAGAGACGCTGAAACTGTCGCCTGATTTCTTGGGTGGATTCAAGGTGGGCGATATCGCGACGCTTGTCGGCGAAGGGGTGGTCGAAGATCGGGGTGGGCTCGACGTGGCATCGCGATCGTCCTCGTCGCCGACCTCCTCGACGTCCACGTCCACTTCCTCCTCTTCCACGTCCACGTCCACCTCGCCGTCTCGCCGATCCGACGGGGGAGAGTCCGGGCAGGGCGAGTGCGACGGGGAGGGACTCCTCGTCGCCGGAGAACCCACCAGACGGCCCACTCCGAAGGACAATCGTTCTGAAAGACGAGCGAATTCTTTGCGTTTTAGATTATTTTCTTCTTTTCTTTTCTTTTCTTTTCTTTTTTTTATCGTTTTCGAAGAATCGACGACGAAAGAAAGAAAGAAAGAAAGAAAGAATGAATGAATTGTAATTGCCGTAATTGTCGTTGATCATTATTTATATATTATGGAATAAAAGTTTGAATCGTCGACTCTAAATCTCTATTTTCTTATCTCGAAATAAGATAGAAGAAGTGGAAGATAAAAGAGACCTTGTACCTCATAGATTCGTATCGTAACGAATCAGATTCTTCTAATTCCTTTCCTCGCACGATGAAAAATTATCGGATCAAACCTTGACTTTCCGGATTAGAAAAATCCCGGAAAACGTGAAAACGAAATAATAAATGATCGAACAACCGATGGATATCGATGTTGTACGTCGATACTCGTGATCGCACTCGAGATAAATTATCAATTCGGTCGAAAATTTACAAATCACAACAATGGCCGATCGATCATCGAGACGGGCAATCAGCGGAGTGTTTCATCTATGAATCAAATCGCGTGAAATCGAGTCATCGAGTCAATGCTCGATATGCTTCAACATCGAACCAGAGCGAAATACGCGTCTGGTATTTCTAATAATCGTGAACGATCTCGAAGGCAGTGATTTACGAGGTCCATCGGTCAGAAAATCGGGCTACCGCTTCTGTGACTGGAGGGAGGGGGCGTTCCGTGTCTCCGCCACCCTCCCTCCGGCCGAGGGAACAATATCAATCCAACTCTCGCAGGATGCACATCCTACGCTATATTATATTTATAATCCGTGCGCGTGACACGCGGTCACGTGCCGTGGGTATATAATACACCGGTGTCGGTTAATCGCATTTAAACCTCTCTCCACCATCCCCCTGTTCACGATTATTATCGCGTCTCCTGATGGTGTTGCAATCGAATCAAAATACGTCAGGAGTCTCGGTAGAGTAGCCTAATGTAATGAGAAACGCGTGCGAGTCTGTCGTAGGT